CTCTCTCTCTCAGCCCAGGTTTGCTCTCACAGGCAGGGTCGAAGCCCAACTCTGAAATAGTCTAAATTGTACCGATGAGGTCGTAAAAAGAATCTGAACCAAAAGAAAAGAGCAGTACTCACTGTCGTTCATCAGAACCCAGATTTGCCACTGCTTGCACGTATCAGGAAAACATAAGCCCCAGGATGCTTTCATGAGTGGCTGCAAGGATTTTTTTAAAACAGAAAAAAATATTTTAAAAAAGAAAAACATTAACAATATACCTGATATACTCTATGATGACGCACATTCAGTTCACTGGACAACATACTGTTTTGAGGCACTTTTGTTTAAAGCTTACTTTCCTCGTTAATAATAATAATATTATACATTTGTCTACTCTATTTTTTTCATTGGATACTTTAAAAAACAAAGAAAAGCAGCAATGTACACATTACGAAGCATTATAATAATTCGGTTTTCTAATGTGTGAATGAAGGTTCTAAATGTGTTGCAACATTGCCTTTGATCTGCAGCCGATCGGACTCTTTCTCCAACCTTTCTACTGGCACTCTTTGGCTCCTTCTTACTGCTGTTTTTCAGCCGCACCCCTCATCTTATGGTAGGTAAGATCTGACACATAGCCTTCTCCGATAATGGAAAAAAATCTCGGAGGTCCCGTCTGCAAATTGCGCAAGTTAAAGATCGCTTGGTGCTCGTAACATCAATGAGAGTAGGCTTCGGCCTCCCCCCCGGGCAAAATTCAAATTTAATTCCTTCCAAAACTGAATGTTTATTGTGTCCCGCGCGCTCTGATGACCTTACGCAGTTTCGAGCACTGTAAAACACTTACCAAACAAAACAAAAAAGGGACATAATTATTTTGTGTCCTCTGTGTCCATGGAGGGTTACGGCCCTGTGCACTCAAGGACAACAAATTTCTTCTGCGGGTATGCAAATGAGGAACTTTTTGCTCGTTCATATCTGCTCACCCCACCAGTGACGTAGGCTATTATTTTATAGCCCTGCGACGAGTGGCATTTTTGCTAATCTGTGAGAGGTCTAAAAAGGACCCCTGGAACCTTAAACGAATCCTGGTAATAAAAGCACTTTGATATTGACCGCAAGCAATTGATTTCACGAGAACGTAAAAGAAGCTTATTTTGTTGTTGTTGTTGTTGTTGTTGTTGTTTTTGCAGAGGGAAACCAAAGCAGGATTGAACACAGACAATTGAGAATGGACAGTTTCTCCTCGGAACTATCAGTTTAAGTAAGTCAAACTTTCTACGGCGGTCACTTTTTGTCGTGGAGAAAAGTTGTCGTCTTACACAGTGTAATAGTAATGAAGAGATACAAAAAGGAGATAAAGGGAACTGGCCGTTTGTACAGGTGATTGTCTATACAGGTGGTCGTTAGAGTAGGGTCTATTGTACTTCAAGCGTCTATAACAAAAAGTTCGTACAATGTACTTCGTAAGTAGCGGTGACTTCGTTGTTCGAAGGACCCCCATGGGCATCAGTTCGTCATTCGATAGTGTTTGTTTTGGTAAATGCTTTACCGCGCCCTCAACTGTATAAGGTCACGTAAGCGCTCGGAATACATTAAATATTTTCAGTTTGGTGAGACTAAATTTTTAATTTTGCCCGGGTGTTGCCCGAAGCCTACTCTTGTCGATTTTTGGAACACCAAGGGACCCTTAACGTGTGCAACTTGCACACGGGACCTCTACAATTTTCGCTCTTATCCGAGAAGGCTAGGTGTTAGATCTTACTTACCATAAGATCAGAGGTGTGGCTGACATACAGCAGTAAGAAGGAGCCAAAGGGTAGCAGTAGAAAGGCTGCGGAAAGATTCAGGAGCCCAGAGGAGGGAGCAAAGTGAAGTGGGGGAGGGCAGAAATTGGAGACGAAAGCAGACGACAGAACATGGTTAGAGTGCAGAAAAGGAGGCGAAAGGAGAACATTTTAGAGAACAAAAGTTTCAATCAGGGTCAGGTTTCGAACCCAGGACCTAATGAATGAGAGGCGAACACTGTAACTTCTAGACCAAGAGATCATCTGTTCGAGACCGTACAGAAAGGTATCCATTGTAACACCCTGAAGTAAGAAAAGCAACCAAAGTTCTCTCACCGGCTTCAGTTGCGTAGCGGTTAGGTTCATTGCTATGGCACGCAGGAGACCTGAGTTTGATTCCCTTGTTGGAAAAAATTGTTATCATGTGTCTCGGTCTTGTTGCTGGTACGATTTAATGGGGATAGAGAGAGGAGAAGGAAGAAAGGGACGACTATCTGGAAAGGAAAGACGTCGCCATAATCAAACAGCAACTGCAACAATTAGTATGGATACCTTTCGGGCTTGAGTGCTGAGAGTAACTGAGCACTAATGGACCTGTCTGGTGTGCAATGACGTTGTTGCCCAGGACACGCAAGACAAGTAAGTAGATATATATATA